AAATAAATAAATAAACATTTTTTTACATATTAAAACGAGACAGAGCACCTGGGGAAAGTGCTGGGCTGGGTAGCAGTTTATGGAAATAGAATGCATAAGAGCAAATTTTGAGAATTAGAGAATGTGAAATGACTTTCAATGGTGTTTTTCAATTTTGGAATAAAGACAATCGTTTTTTTAAGAAAACAGACCTGTGCCTATGCTACTGTTAGTTACCACATTTCTTTGGAGAACTGTTTAGAAAATTGGCTTCAAGACAAAGAGATGTCAACAGATCGATTGTATTTCCTGTGCTTTCCACCCACAACTGGGGCAATAGCATTAACTTATACAAAGCACATTGTTATGTGGTTCTATAATAAATCATACCTTTAACATGAAAGTTTTTTTCCCCAGAATACAACAGCAACCTTCAAGAGGACATTTACTCAGAGACCTCAGGACACTTCAGGGATACTCTCATGAACCTGGTCCAGGTATGAAATTCAAAAATTCACACCATTTTGCATTATTAAAAAATATATATGTTTCCTTTTCAAAAAATAGAACAGAAAACTCCAGTTTAACAGTAAATTCTGTATAATAATGTTTACTTAATGCCAGCTAAATTCCAACCACTATAATAGAAACTTGATTTGGATATAGAAATAAACAAATATGAATAATATACCATTTCTATTCTCAAAAAAATCTACTACATATGTTATGATTATAGAAATATACATAAGTAATTATACCTTATAAGGTAGTTAAAAGATTTAAAATATTATAGTTACAATTATAATTCTAATGAGAAATTATAATTCTATTTCTATTTTTTTAAAGCTACTAAACAGGTTGGGTGCATACTAACTTCTGAGGTCCTAGTATAGCCTAGTAGTAGCATGTTTCTCACTTAATAACTACAAAATACTGTAATATAAATATTCTTATAAGCATTTTATAAATAAAAAATGTAAAACAAAACCTACTAGATTCTAGCTCTCTGTCTAAAGAGCTAATAAGTAGAAATCCAGAATTTGAATTGATTTCTATAGACTCGCACATGCCAGCATCTGATCCTCAGCTCTACCTCAGAAAATTCCATGGTATTATACATGAACACAAAGGAATACTGCTTCAAATTAAAATTTGACACATTTTATTTTTATCTACTGACTAAATGGTATTATTTCTATCCAATTAATATTTCTTAAAAACATCCCACACATTAGCATTGTAACAATAATAATATTTTTAGATATAATTAACCTTTGTCTTATATACTCTGTTATCCAATTCAGCAAAGGCATTCAGGAATGTAAAGAGAATCGATATTCAGTTCTTTACTAACAAAAGAAGACCTAGATGTCCAAACTGGAAAAAGTGTCTTAGGAACCAATGGCGCGAGTGTGGCGTTTGCTGCAAAATTTGTGTGTGGCCTGGCCTTGTGTGTGTATGTATAATGTATGTAATGAAGCAAGCATTTCTAAAATCCCGAAACTTCTCTTTTTATGTCAAGAACATAACTGAGTAGTCGGTAGCTAGCATAAAATTTCACCAAGAACTGTAGGTAGACAGGTTTTTTACATGGGGATGTAAAATTAAGAAAAAATTCCATTGTCTTTAATGATAAAAGAATAAATGATAGCCCTTCTAGGGAATAAAGGTGGAAGAATGATATGTAGAAAGATGGAGAAAGACCCAAGAGGGAGAAGAGTAGGGTAAGAATTCTGCCTGAGGTCCTTCAGGAGTCCAAGGCCCCACACACTTAGGAGGGGAGTCAGAATCATCAGATGAAAATATGGGATGGACCATGGAATGTCCTTTCTTCCTTTTCTCTGAGCCACTCTGGTTCCAATTGCTTCTATGAGTTCCTGGAATTTTTTTTTAGCCTCAACATTTTTATGGCCACTATTGCCAAACTCTGAGATGTTCTTCCTTGCCCTTTGTCCTGTTCAGGTTTATCTGAAGTGGTGCTGTGGAGTATATCCTCCATGAGGCTTATATCTCTTTCACAGCTCAATTTTGGCAAATGTAGACATCTAACAGTTTGTTTGCAGCTTGAGTAGCACACTTTTCTTTAATCTGGATTTATGATGTTTTGGGAAATGTAAATCTCTAAGAAACTTGGAAGAAGTCTAATGTAATTGATTCCAGTGAATACTGTATACCACTTAGCCATACCAGAACTTCTTTCCTAGACCTATTTCTTTGCATCCTTGCACTCTCCCTGACCATGCCTCTTGTTTTTCACAACTAAAAGCCAGTTCCTTGGAAGTCCTCTCAGATAACATATTTAGTCAGATACACGCTGCAGGGCTGAGTCTTAACAGGTGTTTGCTTTTCAAATCTTTTTCAGGTTCCAGCTTACATTGCTTGGGATCAGTGGTTCCCCCTTATAACTGTTAGGGACACCAAATATCTGGACTTTCTCTCTACCTCTTTTATTTCAGCTTGCAAACCAGGCAATTATTTGCTGAGCTCATCTCTTTCTTGTAATACATGGCCAAAAGCATAAAGTAAATGACAGTTATCAAATTCACATGAAGACCAGAATGGGCTCTCTTGATCAGCTTACAGCTCTCCTCCAAAAAGTGATTCAGAGGCTCATTCTTTTTCCATCTAGTGGCTAATCCATCTTCACATCTTGCTTCTAATTTCATCATTCCAATCCACAATCTACAGAAGCAGAAAGAGGGTGGAGGATTGTTCATGGGAACTTTTATGGACCTCACTGTGATATCTATCACTTTTGCTCACATTTCATTGGCTAGACCTCCATCAGCTAATTCCCCTTATAGTCGGTTTTTTTGTCCTCAAAGAAGATGAAATAAGTTTGGTGATCACCTATCAGTGTGAAAATGAGACTTGAAAACTGAAACCAAGACAGGCCAGTGAGCAACAGAAGATGGAAGGATGAAGATATACTTGGCAATAAGCAGGAAGTCTATGAGGATGACTATATTGGGCACAAAGAGAATTTTCAAAAGGAGAGCAATATATAAACAAAAAAACAAACAAATAAAAATGTTCTGCATTATTTCTTATAAGTACTTTAAAAGTAAATGTCTTTACATTTCTATCCAAGCTTTATGTTTTTTGACATATCACCATTTTAAGTGATCTTTTGAAAGATCACTGTGTGAAAGTTTCTTGGCCGTACTTCTAATCTAACTCATAGAATGATGACATTCATCACACTATATACTATATACATATTATACAATGTTAATCTGAACATATTAGCTGTATTTTTGATTTTCTATATAACTAATCTTAACATGTGTAATTAATTCATATGAGAAAAACAAAAACCCACCTCTATTTTAATCTTTTATTCCTTCTCTTTTGTTTTTGGCATACATAAAGCATGTGTGTGTGAAAAAATATTGTCCAACCTTTACCTGTATTTCATTGATTGATTGTTTGATTGTTTTCTAACAAAGCAAATTTCAAAAATGCTGGTGTGAAAACTAGTGTGGGAATAATCATTTCCCATCAGGCCTCTGATTGAACATACCCTTCAAAGTCTTCTTCTACTTCACAGGAATTGCTCTCCTCTAAGCCTGTCTTATGTGTTTTTATTCAGTGTTACCACATAATGTGAGATGTGTTTGCATATCCGCCTTTCCCAGTAGTTTCCCAATCATGAGTTTACAGTTTACAGTTTTAGAACTAGGCTCAGTATATGATACATAAAAAGCAAGTCAGACTTTTTGGAAATAAATGCTACCAAGAACAAATTCTTTTAAAAGTCTGAGTGAATAAAGTTCAATGCTTGCTGCAGTAAAAAATGAGGCTTAATATACAATAGGTCTATGAGAATTCTAGAAAAGAAACATCATTTGCACACCTGGGGAAGAGGAAGGAGGTGGTTCAGGGTAAGTAGAAACATCTTGCTTGAGCATGCTGGCTCACTCGAAGGATTCCTGCTAAATAGGAAAAACTGATTAAATTGCTGGCTGGCATTGCCAGGTTGATGAGGTTCCTGTAAGCAATAGAGAGCCACAGGGAAATATCTGGCAGAATGAGAGATGACTGGGAAGACTTTATCTATTATCATCTCCACGTAAGTAGGAAAAAATTAAGTTGCACGTGTCATGCTAATTTACCACAACAAATGGAAAGAAACATATTGAGAGCCTCGCTTGTGACTTAAATTAAGAGAATCTAACTTATTAAGAATAAAAACTAGTTTCCCCTTCTTATCGTCTCTTTAATTTCTTAATTCCATTCTCATTGAGTTTGTACTGATCAAATCAATCAGATGTACCCTGAATATACGCTGAAGTGAGACAAGAAACCATGAGAAAACCCAGCAGGAGGCAAGGGACATGTATTTAGGCAAAAAAAAAGCTATCAACAATCCCTCTCTTTTATTATTCAGATTGTCTTACTGGCCGTCTTCCAACAGAGAAAGCAGTTAGAATTCTTGATGTCCCAGCTAAGTTTTAAAAAATTAAAGGAAACAAGGAAACTTCAGGTTAGGAAAAAAAGACAGAGTATTCCCCAGCTCTTCAGGAAAATAGGCCCATAGTCATATGCTGACTTTTTTCCCCCCAAAAATTACAAATTCAAATATTTACCTTACAGAGATTCCTATTTTTTTTTTACTTCTACAAAGCTTTGTTTTTTAAAAAATGGACAGCTTTGTCTCTGTTTCTGAAATTAAAGTATTGTATTACACCACCCAAGATAAGCATTAAGAATTATCTCTACCCTGTCTAGAACTAGTCTGTATGCAAAAATAGTTAAAGTGAGGAAATGACCATTAATAATAACTTTTTCCTCTAAAATATCAATAGCAGTGTGCAAATTTAAATTGCTTCATTTTCCTTCCTTTCTTATTATGTCCTTTTGCTGTCTTCCTTATTTGGGGTGGGTTAACAGATCCGATCAAACACAGGAGGTGTAGTTTCCCCTAATATGTGATTACTGTGTTTAAAACCTTCATATTGTACTTCACACACATTTTATATGATTGGATTAAAGAATGAATAAAAGTACTAGATAGGAACACTAACTATCCAGTCATTGCCAGGCAACATGGATTTTAATTCTTTTTTGTCCTTTTATGTGGGTGTGTGTGTCCAAGTTATTATCAGTTTTGAATTAGGAATAAAAAAATCCAGGGGCGCCTGGGTGGCGCAGTTGGTTAAGCATCCGACTTCAGCCAGGTCACGATCTCGCGGTCCGTGAGTTCAAGCCCCGCGTCAGGCTCTGGGCTGATGACTCGGAGCCTGGAGCCTGTTTCCGATTCTGTGTCTCCCTCTCTCTCTGCCCCTCCCCTGTTCATGCTCTGTCTCTCTCTGTCCCAAAAATAAATAAAAAACGTTGAAAAAAAAATTAAAAAAAAAAATCCAAAGGAAAACACTGCTGAGGAAGCCAGATATTAACTGCCCAGAAATGAGGAGAGATGGCTCTTTTGGACTGATTAGATTTCTTCAAACTGTTCACATGAGAAAGGTGGTATGTACCAGTCATATCCACTGAC